TTCAAGGCCAGGTTGGACACAGGGGCTTGGAGCAACCTGCTCCAGTGGAAGGTGTCCCTGCCCGGGGCAGGGGTTGGAGCTGGAGGAGCTTTAAGGTCCCGTCCAACACAAACCAGGCTGGGATTACAGGCAATATTAACCATGCCTCACTTTTGAGGAAGTCTGTCCTCAGAAACAGGCACAATTTGTTCCTTCCCTCCACACCTCTGACCACTCCATCAAGCAAAATGAGGTTCTTGCTGTATAAAAACACCGTCAGGACACAGACCACTAAACCCAGTCAGCCCCGAGGCAGGAGCCACCCGGAGCAGTGTGCAGAAAGGGACAAACACCACACAAAACCCCACCTGGTTTCTGTGGGTCCCCTTTCAACAAGGTCCTTGCTCCCTCTCACATTCCTGTCACTCACTACCCAACATTCCTACACCTTTAACAACTATCTGCAGCCTGTAAAATCTATTATTCCAGCATCAGGGAATAGTTTCTTTTGCCATTTGCAGGGTGTAACCTTTTGGCAAGCCAGGACTTGGAGTTCTTCCCAACCATAATAATAAAAGCCTCAATATATGCATTAAGTTTTAGCACAGAAGAACAAACCTCAGTGAAGGAGAGGTACAACACCCCAAAGAAGGTGACCAGGACAGAAGGACTTTCTTTTAGCCATATAACCAAGCTAAACTTAACTCCCTTTCCTTGGTTACTGGTTGACCCCAGAACCAAGTGGCACACTGAGAACTGGCTGCAAAGATCCTTACAGGAGGCTGGAGGAAGCACAGGGTCTTCCCACAGTGCTGGTTGTTGGGCTCACCATATCAGCAATAGTTCAGTGTAGAAGAGGCTGCAAAAGCTGTTTTGCCAAACTCCCCATCTCTCAGACTAACAACTTCCTTCTGTTCTCTCTTTCTTTCTGATTTGTGTTCCACTGAAGTACATCTCGGGCAATGCTTTGAGCATGTCTCCTGCTTCTGCAGGGGAGAAGACTCTGCTCCATCAGACCAGTATATGCGCAGAATCATAAAGCCTGAATGCTTCTGTCACCCCTTTGTCACCTCAGATGGGACAAAACACCTCTATAAATCCTCTGCAGCACCCACTAAAGCCCAATCTCTGTTCCTCCTTGCCAGCAGCTGCTCCTGTGTCACTCCTTGTGACAGCTCTGCAAGTAAAGTTTTCCTTTCAAACCATCTTGTGGGGAGGGAGGAATGTAGGAGGACACTGGAACACTCCCGGAGCTGGAGAAACTGCCTGCGAGAGCGACCCATAAATAAGAGATGTTTTGTTAATGCTGTAATGAAAACCACACTGAGATCATGCTGTAATTGCTCTGCTTTGTGTAGGGACACATGAGCTTTGAATGCCAAAGCCATTCAGAGCAGAGTTAGGGGATGGGGGGAAGAGCAGATCTGCACATAACAATGATATCGCATTCATAACAGTCTCTGGATGGAGAGGAGGGATCTGGAAGGATTCTTTCTCTGATGGGTTCAATAGGAATCCTGCTTTAAAAGCTCTTTAACCTGCAAGCCCTGGAGGTCAGAGAGCATTTGAGGGAAGCATGACTGTTTCTGCTGTGTTCACATTCTTTGTCAAGCAATGGCTTGGGCCACCCTTCAAAACATGATGCCAAGCTCACCTTGGTGTGTGTTTTCACCTAGGAGAAATAGAAGCCTATGTTGAGTCCTTCATCACGGCCACACTCCTCCCCGGAACACCTGATGGGGTTTGTATGCAGCGTTGGACATCCTCTAGTGCCATGGGGGAAAGAGGGAGAAGCTAAAAGGAGAAGATTCGGGGGAATTTGCCTCATTTCCCCTCACTCCTGGTACTTGGTGATGACTAAAGAAGTCAGGCAGCTTTGTGCAGAGGCTCAGATTTGGCCAAGTGTCCAAGGCATTCACTGTGGCACAAAGCTCTAACCCCACCTCTGCTGTGGTGCTGACTCCTCACCAACCCCTCAGCTTTAGCACAGGACAGAGCCCATCTCTATGCCCAGACGTCTCTCTGCTGGCTCCTGCACAACCTGAGCAGTCAGAGGCGTTTTAGCACCACAAAGCAACCATAAGTCACTGCACTGGGTAATCACTTTTAACTCTGTGCAGTCTGAAAGCAATTCTCCCAGGTCCTGTGCTGGCAGAAACACGCTGCTCTTGAACATGCATCTGGTTACAGCTCTGCTCAGCCAAGTGTTCTTCATGGCTTCTACAGATGTTTTACCCTGTAGCTATGAGGATTACGAGTGATGCTCTCTTCTTCACCTGTCACTTCTCCCTGCCAATAATCCCAATAAAACCCCATTAGCTCATGCCCTTGACCTCAAGCAAGTCCTTGCTGTGCTGGTCGACATCTCATCTGGGATAATTTAAGGCTTCAGGAACTGTTGGCTCAGTGTTATCTTTAACAATAACTCCCTCCCTGATACAATCGGCGGCTGAGAGATTCCAAGCAAACAAAACCAGCTGAGCAAGCCAATCCCCACATGGTTCCCACTAAGCTCTCAGCCAGTTAACTCTTAGGGTGAGCTGTCTGCAGCTCAGTGCCACAAAGGCACACAGAGAGCACGGGCTGGATCTGCAGGCTCCTACAAAGCAAAGCGCTGAGACACGTTCTCACCATAGAGCAGCTTAAGAGCTGTTCCCAGACTTGGGTTGGAGAGAACGGCTGAGCAACTGCTGACTTCCCTCAAGCAGGGGACGGTTTGAACTCAGAGGCTGAGTTTGTGGCCTCCTGCTTCCAGGTCACTGCATAGAACAGCCTGGAGCTGAGCAAAGCGGCCTGAGAAGCCCTGGTGCGGTGCCAAGGAGAATGAGCTCACTTTGGTGCATCAATTCAGGACACAATGAATGCACCAGGACAGAGGGCAGGAAACATTTGGCCCTTCTCCTTGTTTTCCAGAGTCATTTTATGGACACAGGAAGGCAGCTTTGGATAGAAAAAGCCCATAGGTTGCACTAAAAGAAGCTGATCCTTCCCAAAACCCCTATGAAATGACGGGGAGGGACACTCAGCCATAATCACTCAGCACACACAAAGCAAGGAAAGAGTCTTCCTCCTCACCAACACCAGGTCACGGTGTTTGGGAGTGAAGTAACCCTCGCAAACAGCTCCTCCCATTGGCAACACTGGATGCTTTTGTGTCTCCATAGAGTGGAAAGCTGATGGATGACATTCTTCACTCTGCGAAGCCTTCGGGATGTTTTCCAGGAATGAATGGCTTGCTGCAGAGCCAGCCAGCTCCGAGGAAGCTGAGCTGAGAAGGAATTGGGATGCAAGAGCAGCACAGCCTCAGGTAACAGGGGAACCTTCCACACTGGTGGCAAGGGAGCAAGCAGTCTTGTCTTGAGGGCAAAGCAGAACAGGAAATCAAGTGCTAAAAAGAGTTTACATAGGAGAGGAATGAAGGAAAGCACCAATATCACTTCCCTACCTCACAAAGCAGGAAGAGTAGCTACTTTCACCTTCCATTCAGGCTCAGTTCATAGGGGACCAGAATAAGGACAATTGCTGGGTGGATACAGAGGCAGAAGTGAATGAAGAGCTGTCTGCAGGTAGCTCTCTTGAAGCAGCTACCTTCAGTTGCCCCTTTCATGAAGCAGAAGTAGTTTGCTCCATGTGGCTTCAGACTTTGGACAAAAAGCCACTTCTAAATATCTGAATAGCAGTTTCATTCCCATGGGAACCTTCCTTCCCGGTGGAGAGAGGAGGACGAGTTTCCTGCCCAGCCCTAGAGAACTCCAGGAGACGTTATAACACATGTGACCCAAACACAACTTTGGATCTGAACTTCGGGGAGAAACCAAACATGGTTCAACCTCGACGTGGCCACGATCCAGATTTAAGGAGTTCTGGCCACAGAACTCAGCTTCGGGTCTGATTTTATGGAGCAAACACAAAGCCAGGCTTCCTGCTTGGGGACACCACAGCTGGCAATTCCAGAGCCAAACTACTGCAGGGGAGGCCAGTGTAGCAGTGACAGAGCCATTTGGGACAAACAACACGCACTCACTGTCCTACACCTGCCCTGAATGCTCAGCAGCACTCCTCATAGGACAAACATCCTTAGCCAACTGTTGCCTGCTCCAAAGAGCAAGTTACATGTATGCTCAAAGCATGAGCAAGTCCAACATTGAGCCTTTTGACTTCCACACAAACCAATTCATGCATTTATTTCATACTCAGAAGTGTCAGGACCACCTCCAACGTGATCAGGCAGCTCCAGAATAGATTCTGTGTTCGACAAGCTTCATTCTGCTGTCATGGTGGTATTAGCTGGGAGTTAAGCTATCTGGTTTCCTGTGTGGGTTTGCAAACATGCCAGATGAGAACAATAGGATCATCAGTTCTTCCAGCTAAATGCATCTCATACACCTCACAAAGAGACCAGACACTTGGGGTCTGATTTGCTTCTACTTTGGTTCCTTTTCTCTGTAGAGGAAACATCCTCCCAAGCTGCCTCCACAGAAGCACATCGATGCCTTAACCACTGCTCCACTACAGCTTCCAACAGCAGTGTTTAATTAAGCTGCACGACCAGACCTACCAAATACCACAAAATATAGGTAACCATTGAATCACAAAATGGTTTGGGTTGGAAGGGACCTTAAAGCTCATCTCAAGCTCCCCTCTGGCAGGTTAAAGCCATTCCCCTTGTCCTGTCCCTCCATTCCTTGTCCAAAGCCCCTCTCCAGGTTTCCTGGAGCCCCTTTAGGCACTGGAGCTGCTCTAAGGTGTCCCCTTCAGGAGCCTTCTCTTCTCCAGCTGCCCCAGCCCAGCTCTCTCAGCCTGGCTCCAGAGCAGAGCTGCTCCAGCCCTCACAGCAGCTCCATGACCTCCTCTGGCCTCGCTCCAACAAGAGAACAGCCCTGACCTCACTATGTACTTAATCCAACAGGACACACATAGATACTCTTTACAGGCAAGTTTCTCATCTTCTGTGTTTTGTTGCCTCCACTGCTCAAGCTCCTCTATTCCCAGCCCTGGTGTCATTCACAGCGTACACCACCACAGCTCCTCATCCCATAGTTATTCCCTTCACAGGCAACAAGCTTGGAGATCCAGAAGGTTTTGCAAGCAGAGAGTCAGAGAAACCATAAATCCAAACCACTCACTGAGGGTAAGGGTGTCGTTGATCCTGAAGCTGCAGAGCACCCTGTCAACGTTCCGGGCATGGCGAAATCCATTTCCTCTCACAACCACCTGAAACGACTCTGGAGCAAGAGAGACAGTGGGTTATTGATCCATGGTGAGGCAAAGAATGCTCATTTAAGCAAGGTGGCTATGTCAAGGTTCTATGTCATGGGTTTCACTTGGTCTCCTCAATTTAAATATGCAGTTTAATAACTTTTGAGTTTAAGCATAGTTAACAATGGACCTTCTACTCCCTCCCTGCCCAAATTCAGCTTTTAGAAATGGGCAATAACACCCAACAGAAGCATTTTAACTGACCCACAGTGAGAACATTGAGCTTCAGAGACACTGAGCTTCTCCCTCCCCAGGCTGTCATTTTAAATAGCAGAATGGTTTGGGTGAAGAGAGGTAAAAGTATCTCCCCAAAGGAAGGAAAACAGGCTCTCAGTGGCAGATACCCCGGAGAAGTTCAAGTGCAGCTTTAGGCAACTCTAAATTGCAGCAGTTGCCATGAGTTTGGCCACATCCTGCCCTACCAGCCTGTACAATGACTTGGAGTCCTTGATGGGACTCATTCCCACACAGTGGCAAGGGTTTCATTCCATCAGCTTCCTGGTCTCTGGACAAACCAGAGCCTGTGGGCATTTCCCCAAGTCTTCCTATTTGCTGCTTCTCCAGCTCAGCTCCACAAGGTCCCCATAAGCAGAAGGCATCAAGGACAGTCCCTTACACCCAAGAGCTGAACTGAGTGGTCCTTTTTGGAACAAGCAGAGCTGAGCAATGAGATCACATCCTCACACGTCTTTCTGAGCACTCTCTACTCTCCCTTGTTATCCCAACTACTTGCACCTAATACTGGGAAAGGTTTATAAGCTTCCTGCACCACCAGCAGTAAAACTGCCTTGCAAGGAAGCACCACTTTTGGACTTTCAGATGCTGAAGCAGGGCCACAGTCCCAGCCAAGTTCTGGCCATGGACTCAGGGACTCAAACCCAGCGAAGGAAACAGCCCCCACAATTCCTGTTGTGGGAATTACTATCTTGGAGAGGCACTCAGATAATCCCCACCGACGTTTGGCTGGCGACTGTGGTTTGAACACACAATACTTCACCTTCCAGACAACGCAGGAGCAACCACAGTGCTTCAAACACTGCCCTTGGTTTTAAGGTTCCCAGGAGCAAGAAGGAACCAAGTTCCTGCAGATTCAAAGCTTTCCCCTTGCACTTTACAGTCCCCATCATCTTTCATCTCCCTGAAGGACTCACGCACTGTACTTGTCAAGAAAAGCAGCTCTGCTCTGGAATCTGGGCTCCCTTCCAGGTCCCACTCCTTTACAGCCAAGTTGCAAATCATCCCAGCACACCCAGCCAGGGAAGCTGCTGCTGCCTCACAGGCCCATTGTCCAAGAGCATTTGGGAAGGACAGGGGAGCCGAGCTCTGCTCTGGAGTGTGGGGGCTGATGAATGCTTAGAGAAATCACAGGAGTCTCAGCTGCTGGGGAATGAGAGTTCAAGTACAGTGGAAAAGCAGCGTATCAGTGATGTCTGATTAACCACAGGGATCCTGTCTCTGCTTGGCACTGAAATGAGCAGATGCAGCACGGTCTGAATGAGACAGGCTGGTTTGACTGCAATACAGAGGCAAAACTGTCAAATTCAAGGCTTTTCCGTAAGCAAATGCCATTTGCCTTCACTTGGCAGTGATGGGAACTGGGAACCTGCTGTAAGGTGAAAAAACTACCAAGAAAAGCAACAGGTTTAGCACCAGATAATGGGTTCCTTTTGCACTCGCCAGCAATTAGAGGTGGACCCAAGGTGTGTTTCAGGCAACACGACCACTGAGGCTCAGCTGATACTTACCCCCTGCACATATGCTGGAAGGCTCCGCTGCCAGGATTTCTATACAGGACTTCTTCAGGATCTGAGAGACAGACAACACGTCATGAAGTACCTTGGACTTGTTCTATAGAAGCACACACCAAAACCTGAGCACTTGTTCTCACGCAAATGCTTAACTCAACATTGCACTTTGCATTCATGTCACAATTATGCCATCTTAGTGGCACTTTCCACAGCAAGCTCCTGCTATGGAGGAAGGCAGCAGATGCTCACCAGGATCCCACTACACACTGGCCTTTGTTTGTGGTACAAGTTACTCTGCAGACCACGATCAGCAACGGAAGTGCACATGGAAGGGTTAGTGAGGGAGTGCCATTGCCCTCCCTTTGCAGTCACACCTCCCTCTCCTAAATGATTCCGGAGCCCAGAACTCCAAATAAAACAGCACAAGTCTTAGCTGAGCTGTTTGCCTTTGCATTAAGACATCCTGGGAAGAGCTGCATAGCCACTTCCCATGCCTCAGCATAGGGGCTCCAATTTCCTCAGGTATTAACCTGGCCTATGAGAGCATACCTGAGTGCATCCTCAAAGACTTCAGGTCCAGGTGGATGGACAATTGTTCTTTACTTAAGTCAGACTTAAATGAAGCAGTATATGTCTTTGTAAGGGTTGGCACTGCCCTTAACCATGTTATACATGTAGACAGTGATTTATACAAGTACTTCAGCATCAGTCCTGGCAGGCTGCTTGCAGGCACAAGCAACATGCTGGAGCTGGGTACACTTGGTTCCCACATGGTGCTAGAATAGCTCAAGCTCTTTGCATGCAGCAGCCTTTCCCCTGCTCTGAAGACTACCTCCAATTCTTCACTGCCCTCAGTCAGCAAACTGGTGCCAGTGTCCATAAGCCCCTGTGAGAGCAGCAACCAAGAGCTGTGATGTTCAGTGCTGGGCTGAGCAGCCCTCAGACGAGGTAATGCAAAGCAAGATTTAGGTCAGCTCCAAGAGGCAAGTAAATGTCAGCCAAGCATCATGACTCAAATCCAACACCAAAATTATTTTCCCAACTTTAAATTGAAACATCTGTAAGGGAAGAACAGCCACCAACAGCATCAATTCTGTAAGGAAAAGATAAGCTCGGATTTCTCCGCAATCACAGCTCTTGCCTCAAATACCTGATTGCAAACAGTGCAGACAGAGCCATGATTTAGTTATCTTATACTTTTAAACAAGAGTTTGAGTTACTCAGAAGCAGGGTGGGGAGAGGTGGAAGGAGTACCAAGGGACTGAAGGAAGCAGAGCTGCTGGAGCTGCTGGCAGCCTCACAAGTGAAGAGGGAGGATTTGCAGGAACAAGGTTATACAGGAACTGTCAAGTGGAAAAAAAGAGAAAGTCAACAGTTGAGAACAGAACTGAAAAGCACCAGAGGAATTTGAAAGGCAGAATAAGGAAAACAAAGAGACCTGTAAGAACACTTCTCAAGTACCCATCTGCAGTTATCCATCCCTCCATCCCCTGTCAGTCCGCTACTACCCCCCTCCCCCCCATGCCAGGTTCTACTTCTCTGAAGATACAACATCTTTCTCCCAAAGTGCCAGGACTAATGAGCACAACCAAGAGTTGAGGTTTTTCCAGGCATTTTTCCTCTCCACTGAAAAACATCTCTTAAGAAGCCAATCTTTTCACATTTCTCCCAATTCCCCCTTAGATTCTGTTCCCCCCTCCCTCAGCACCCCCAAAAGTGTCAATAGTGATTTCTTCTCCATGCCACAGTGAAGTGTAAGAGAGCAGACAAATGAGAACAAATGCATGAAAAATACAATCAATACTTCCATTCTTTTAAAAACCAAGGAAAACCTGACATGATTAAGTGTGAAATTCATGACTTTTATTCAGCTCTTTACACACACTCCTGCTATAAGCCAGCTTGGACACAGGATGCAATAGCAGGTGGCTCAGTTCGATGGTTCAGAGCTCCCTTCCAGCCCAACCCAATCCATTTCCAGAACTATAAAAATGCCTTAATGCCTTTTTACAGAGCCAACTGCAATAGTTAGTTTGCTTTAGAATAAGCTTCCAATGCTCCAACCGTTGGAGCACCCACCCTAAGGTGAGAATCAGGCAACGGTGACTATTGCCCAGGAATTCTTTCATGTCTCTTCCTCACCACAAATACATCCGAAAAGGACTTCAACACATTCAGTGAGGAGGATTTCATCACTTCTGTTCTTTTACTTCCCAGGGCCTGCACAGCCTTCTGTGGCCTAAAGGTGCACTTCATTCACTGCAACCTGGCTCCTCAGGAAAGGAAAACAGCATGGAGGAGCAGGGAGCAATCCCCCAGCTGAGCGTTGCTCCAACAGGACACACAGGAGAACTGACTGCACATCCTCACTTCCATAGGGAGCTCTGCTTCTCTCAGGAGCTAACTGCAGCTTGCCTTGGCATCCAGGCACAGAGGTGTCTGGAGCACATGCTCACTCCTGGGGAGGAAGCATCCCACTGTGCTGAGCAGCACATGCTTAGTGAGGAGCTCAGATTCCCAAAGCCATCTCCTGGATGCTGGAAGCTCCCGTTTGGAATTCTGCTCCACAAGCATGCAGACAGATTACTTCATGCAGCAGCTGCATATTTCCTATAAAGTTTTTTTCCACCAAATTTTGGAATTCTGATTAGCCAACAGGATGCTGAAGCTTAATAGAAGGTCACTGCCCCATCAGAGTTAGTGTGAGTGACCCACAGGCCGAGGCTGGGTACTCATTATTAGCTCTGCTTAATTACTACATAACCATGGCTCTTACAATTACAAACAGTACTTTGTTTATGAAGTGTTTCCTACCCAATGATATCTGCATGAGCTCAGCAAGATAAATCTATCTAAGTCCTTTTTAAAGATGCATTTGGGGGAAAAAAGAAGTAGAAGTCGTGATCATATGCTGCTAACTGTAATGAGGAACACTATAAAGTTGAGCCTGGGGGTTCATCCTGTGCTTGAGATGGGTGAGGCAGCAACCCAAGGCAGGAGGTTAGAGCTGGTGACTTGCTCTGAGGTGCCTTGGCAGTGCTGGGAATGGTGATCAGGTGAAGTCTGAACGGGTAGCTCCAGATGAGCACAGAAAAGCAGCCCCACATTTCTCATGCTTCACCTATCAAATGCTCACGTCAGGTTCTCACAAGTTACATGACACATTCCCAGTTTTCATGGCAAAGAAGCATTTCATAGATTAATTCAGCTTTTCCCATTTTTCCTCCCAGCTTACAGCAATCATGGAACCCTAGAATGGGCTTGGGTTGGAAGGGACCTTAAAGGTGCTCTAACAGCTCTCTGCTGCCCCAGGCTGTGCAACTATTTGATGATGAAGAGGGAGACACACAAAGATAACATTTGGGCTCAAAGCTCCCTGTATTAGGACCAATTGAGCCACTCAACTTGGAGGTAGCAATATTAGTCCAAACAAAGGTGAGTTTCTTTGAAACGAGTGATTTATTAGCACTCAGCAGGTCCTTGTGAACGCAGGAAAGCGAAACCTTCCACTGCACAAGCCAGACTAACACGCAAACACAGGAGTCCAAATACTTACAGAGTCTATGATGCCCTGCAGGGCTTCAAAGCCATCATTCACTGGGAAGACATGATCTCTGCTGTCGGCAATTCTGGCCAGCTGACACAGTGGGGAAAGAGAATCAGAGAGAAATGCAAAGAATGAGGTAAATGAGCCAGCAGGCAGCAAAGTGAGACCTCTCCAGACTCAGCCACTTGCAAGTAAAAACCCCAAGTATCTGTGCTGGTGCATTATAGTTGGTCGGGCATTGAAAAGCTTCTCTGTAGCCTGATTGATTTTAGAAAGCTCTGTAGCAGGCATCAGAAAAGGCTTCTCTTAGCTTTGAAGACAAGACAAAGTGGGTTTCACCAATGCCTAATGGTCTTCAGCTCAAAACCTCTCTCCCACCTGCTTGTCCATCAGCCAGCACAGTAACTCCCCAACCAAAACCACCCCAGCATCAACCTGACAGGCCACTAATGCAGCAAACACACCATTTAAACCAGGGAACTAAGCAAAATGGTTCAGTGTTTTCATATAGAGAGAAGACTAATGCAAATCATACCCCTTCTGGAGATAGAGGCTTGATTCACCTTTCCTGTCAGAACAGAGATTTGACTGTACGTCAAGGTGCAACCATTAGAGAGCCAAGAAGAAAGCAGGAACCTAACAGGAGGTATTTTCCACGTGGAGGGAAGAAGGTAGCAGAAGAGTGTTTGGAAACCTACACG